TTCATCTTGAAAATGTTAGGACATGGAGATTATGGCAAGATTTCTTTCAGAGAGCTGTAGTCTATCAAACACTTAAGACTTTGGGCTAAGCAGAGGAGTAACTTTAAACTAAAGAATCCTCAGGGTGAACTTTAATGTATTGCTATGTGCAAGTTAGTCTTAGTTATGTACTTAAGCTTTATGGATAAGTGTTTCTTCAGAAAACTCAAGGAGCTGATCCCACAAGCCAGACAAAATAAAACGTATCAAGGCCAAACATGAAAAAAGCAGAGCACTCTCTAAGACCAATTTCTTTCAGCTCTAGCAGCTAATTGACGAAAAACAATTCTGATCACTTTTTGTTTATCTGCTCTGTCAAAACTTTATAATCTATAAGATTACATGCAAAAAACCCAAGTATAAAATCCATATCTAGGTTCCCATGAAAGTAAACAAGGAAAACAGAGCAAATAAAGTAATTTTTCTATTTATTATAAAAGAAAAGCCACTGCAGAAATGCTATAGAAGATAATCAAATTAATATCAGATATAAGTGAAGTTTTGATCAAGAAAAGTGGGGAAATAACATGACTTGCAGTGTCTAAGTGTCACTGGGAGACAACAAGAGACAAAGATTTATGAGAGCCAGCACATAAAAGTCCGTATCTCCAGGCATAACTTACAAGGATATTCATTTAACTGGTCTCCTGAAATATCCTGTGCTGTCAATGAATTACACAGCTTTTGGAAAGCAAGAGAGAAATAGTGACAAGATAAAGGTACGGTTGATACTGCTTATGCAAAGGCATAGCAACTATGACAGTGCTCTAGACTGGGACTCAAGAGAGACAGGTTCTAGTTTCCTATTGCACCCTAATTTGATGATCTTACTGGGTTTCTTAATGGGAGATAATAGTGCTTGCCTCATTCTAGAACATATCACATTCAATGGATAGGAGCTCAGTGCTAAGTTTGGGGCTCTTGTATGCAGTTAAAGGCACAGCCTGCAACCTGATGTAGCCCACATGTGGAGTTAAACACAGTGGACAAAAAATTGTACATTAAAATCTTTGCATTATCAGGAATCATGTTGTTTAACAAATCCTTATTTCCACAGCATCTTCATTCCTTTTTTTTATCAAGGTGAGAAATATTTTTTGTCAAGATGTCAAGGTAACAGAGTTGAAAAAGAAATTAAGGATAAATATGGGATGATCCAAAGTAACTGATGAGCATTGCCTGATTGAAAGCACACCTAAGACACATTTCTGAGAGCATCCCTCCATTAGGTATGTTTGACAGATAAAGAATTTTAAGACAGAAAAAAAAAGATTAAAAAAAGGTTGAGGCTTGCTTAATCATTCCTTATCTAGCAAGATTTGTAAAGAAATAAATTGCTCACAGGGAATTCTAGCAGATGTTTAAACTGCCCTGTGGAGTATTTTAAGTCTTCTTTTTCAAATTTCAGTGTTAAGTCTTTTTTGTCAAATTTCAGTGTTAACTCTCTGAATATCCACTGAAAACTATTTCATTAATGTTCAATAGCAGATCTACAGTTCTAGATGTGACTTGCAATTCAGGAGGCCCAACATGCAAGTATTTTCTGGTGCACAATTTTATGCTTTAAAATGCTCCAGCTTAGAGCATAAAGTAAGTGCAGAACTGATCTTCTTGGCACTATTCCACACAGATGAAATTAATTACAGCACTTCGAATGAAAGGCGTAACAAAGAAATAACTGAAACCTTTTCAAACTAAGCATGTCTACCATGTGAGAAGGATTTAATCACGCATAGCTGAGGTGTTTGAATTAGTAGCTCAGGCCCAATGGATAAGCAAACAGGTAGTGCGGGCAAATAAACTGAAAGACTAGAGAAACAGAAAGGTTTTCTAATACGTATTACAGAACAACATCAGAGATGCAATTATATAATAAAGTCACCCTGACAGATTTCCTGGAGATGTAAAACAAATAGTATAAACCACGGAGCCACAAGTCCTGCAGCAGGAAATCTTTCCAGATATTGCATTTTTTCATAGTTTTGTTATGGTCCAAATGTATGTGTATGTTTGTGTGTGTAGATACTGCATTTTTTCATGGTTGTGTTATTGTCAAAATATGTGTGTGTCATATACATATACATAGATATAGACAGATAGACAGATAGACAGATAGATAGATGATAGATAGATAGATAGATAGATAGATAGATAGATAGATAGATAGATAGACGAAATTTGTCCTAGATTCAGTCAGGACAGGGTTAATTTTTTACAGTAGCCAGGAAAGGGGAATGACTAGACCCTAATTTTATTCAATACCATCTCACATCACTTGTGAGGGGTGGGGGTAAGGGACTTTCTTCACCATTTCCTGTGGGAGGAGAAAGCATGGTGGGTTAGAAAGTCTGGAACTGGTTTACCTTTTTACATTTAAATTATTTCTTTTTCTTATATGTTTTGTTATTAATATTATTGCTGTTACTGTTGGTTTTCTTATCTTATTGCTGTTTCCAGTAAGTTGTTCTTATCTCAACCCGTGATTTTCACCTTTTTGTGCCTCCAGCTCTCAACTTCATCCCTGGAATGCGAAGGGAGAGGGGAAGAAAGGGGAGTGAGCAAGTAGAGTCTGGTTTGGGAGAGTCTCAGTGGGGGCACTGAATTGGGGAGTACTATTCCTAAACCATGACCAAATTATGTATTAAATCTCATAAGGCATTTGGGAACCTGGGTTTCCATGTTATATCCTCTAAATACATATCAGAAAGACTCAATAGGGTTACAGTAACCAAATCTGTAGTGGTCTGAAAAACTACAAGACAGTAGATCACATTATTTTTTTCTAGAAAGTGATAGATATGCATCAATACAACAAGTTATCTGAGTAATATGTAGAAACATTCAGAGTCCTGCTGAATTCTGCGTCTAACAGCTTTTCTAATGTTTTCATTTTTAGTCCTTTATAATCAGTCATACAAGATGCAGCTTTGCGATTCAGAAATGCTACACTAGTTCTATTGAACTAGTCAGTTTACATGATTTGGCCTATATGAGCATGCATGGGATTACCTAAACGTATGTAAACATATATAATATATATATACACATACAAAATGCTCTTCGGATAATGAGAACTATAAAAATGTATGAACGTGTATGCATACAAAGATTTTTGTTTCCCTGATCTCATCAGGAGACCGTTCCTTTTCTCCCGGTTCTGAACTTCTTCCCAGTCAGCACTGATCCCGAAACAGCCTCTGGGAAGGACTGCCTTCATGTTTTATATGGTTCTGTCACGGGCTTTTGGCTTGTCTTTTATTCCCTTTCTTCAGGAGCCACACAAACCTTTACAAAAAGAAAACTATATCTTTGCCTACATTTTGGGTACCTTAGGTTTCACCCACAGTTGGCTTGATATTCCAGTTGGTATGCTTTTATAACTATACTATTCCCATTCCCTTAAGCATGGAAGTACTATCCTAGCTCATATCTCACACCTGTGGTTTCAACCATTAAAAGATTTGTTAATACAGTTTAATATGTAGTAAAAAACACAATGAACAGAGAACACAATTTGTGGTATTTTAGAAACTTTTTCTTCCAGAAATTGTTTTAAATTGATACCAGTAGCTGCTTGTACAGTGCCTTTGCTCTTCAAATATAAGGAGCTCATTAAAACTGAGAGCCAAAACCGAGTCATTCCACACTTGTATTTTTAGTCCTGAAGTTCACTGTATTTGCCAAATCTGGGGTTTCCAGCAGCAATACAAGTGGAAAGAGTTTCTCCATATTGAAGTATCCATAGAAACTGCAGGGTTTATGTATTATATAGGACATTTTGCCCAGCCTCTTCCATTACTCAAAAATGAAGGAACAGCCAATTCTCTAAATATATAGACTCAATTACAATAAATTTTCCCAAAACAAACTGACATAAAAGACCAATCTTGAGCTTTATAAAACTGTATGATATATTGATTTACTGTTCTCACATGATGATGCACACAGATACAGTATATATTCATACTTACCAAATTAATATCTCTGCTCTAAGAATATAAAGCAGCTTACCATTTGTACCAGTGTTTTACTTAATATTCAGTAAATAAAGAGGCAAACTTTACACTTCAGCACTATAGTAGAACTAGTGTATTCGTGATCTAGAAATGTTTATATCTTTATCTCAGTTTTAAGGTAACAGTCCAAATTTTTTTTTCAAGTCCAAATATGCACTTTGGCACTAAGTTTTGATTCAGCCTAAATGAGAACCTAGGTCCATTTGTATGGAATCTTATTGTATTGTATTTGTATACCATTTTGTATGGAATCTTCCATCAGCAGCTTGGGACGGGGCAAAATGCGCTACAGCTAGAGTTTTAGGAAGCACCAACATGTCTCTGACTAAGAGAAGATTGCTCAAGTCCATCTCCTCATGTAACATACCCCCACCCATGACAGCACACTCTTTATGCTGCAGCTTACAATCAGGCTCATGTTGCAGCTGCACCTAAAGACATTATGTAATGAATACTCCTTGGTAGCACTGGTTTTGATGGAACTTTCCATGGTGAATCTTAAAGAATCTCACCAGTTCAAATGATGCAAAATAAATAACATTAACAAGAACAACAAGAATCATTCTCTGTCAAATTCACATGGGAAAAAAATAGTAAATAAAAAGCTAGATTAATAAGCACTAGAAACTACCAAGTCTGAGTATCCTGGTTCCCCAAGGGAGCCAGTACTTGTTTTCCTGATGCCACAGGGAAATGTGCTCATTTCAGTAATTCAAAATAGATCTAATTCCTTTCCTTTTTTTCAGCCTGGCTAGGTGTTTTCTTTTCCTTTCTTTTTTTTTTTTCAGTTGTGAGATGTTGGTCTGAAATAAAAAAAATTTTTTCTACCAGGGGAATATCTTGATGATTCCCAAGAATGTCAGTTGTGTGAAGCATCCTGTCAGAAGTGCACTGGACCTGAGTCAGACAACTGCATCAGCTGCCTACTTACAAGGTAATTATCTCCTAGCATAGAACAGTACAAAGATTTCACATCATCATCTGGAGAAGTGGCTGTATTGTATTTAGCACTAGCTTACAGAGTCAACTAAAGAAGCAAGCAATGACTAGGGCAAACAAAACCAGGGTGAGTGTCCTAGATAGAACAGCTGGGACCGATTCATCATTGGATGGGTGTAGCCCAAAAC